GAATCCGGGATTTTCCTGGGAAAACGTTGGGAATGTGTTGGGAATTGCCAGAGTTTCTACTCGGCCATCGTGGAGCTGTGCGAGAACGGCGGGAAGCGTCCGGCGGGCGGCTCCGGCTTCACGCGGGAACAGGCGGACGCGATCCGGCGGATCCGGGCCAGCAAGGACAGCTGGGACGTGCTGGGGCTCAAACCCGGCGCCTCCAGGTCCGAGACTCCGGAAAAACGGGAATTTGGGGGAAAAACGGGGATTTGGGGAAAAAAACCGGGGATTTGGGGGGAAAAAAAACGGGAATTTGGGGAAAAAAAACGGGGATTTTTGGGGAAAAAACGGGAATTTGGGGAAAAAAACCGGGAATTTTGGGGGAAAAACACGGGGGTTTTGGGGGGAAACATCAGGGAATCTTGGGGGAAAAACACGGGAATTTTGGGGGAAAACACACGGGGATTTTGGGGAAAAAAAACGGGGATTTTGGGGGAAAACACACAGGGATTTTGGGGAAAAACACGGGGATTTTGGGGGAAAAAACATGGGGATTTTGGGGAAAAAAAATAGGAGTTTTGGGGGAAAACGCCAGGGAATTCTAGGGAAAAAACACGGGAATTTTGGGGGAAAAACCCGGGAATTTTTGGGAAAAACACCGGGGAATTTTGGGGGAAAAAACCGGGAATTTTAGGAAAATAAACCCGTGAATTTTGGGGGGAAAACATCCAGGAATTTTGGGGGAAAACATCCGGGAATTTTGGGAAAGAAACCAGGAGTTTTGGGGGAAAAAACCAGGAATTTTGGGGGGAAGCACCGGGGAATTTTGGGGGAAAACATCCGGGAATTTTGGGGACAAACACCAGGGAATTTTGGGGGAAAAAAACCAGGAGTTTTGGGGGAAAGCATCTGGGAATTTTGGGAAAAAAAACCCCAGGAATTTTGGGGGAAAACATCAGGGAATTTTGGGAAAAAAACCACGGGAATTTTGGGAAAAAACCCAGGAGTTTTGGGGAAAAAAAACAGGAGTTTTGGGGGAAAACATCCGGGAATTTTGGGGAAAAAACCCGGGAATTTTGGGGGAAAAAACACGGGAGTTTTGGGGAAAAAAAACAGGAATTTTGGGGAAAAACACCGGGAATTTTCGGGGAAAAAACACGGGAATTTTGGGAAAAAAACCAGGAGTTTTGGGGGAAAACACCCAGGAATTTTGGGGGAAAAAACACGGGAATTTTGGGGAAAAAACACGGGAATTTTGGGGAAAAACACCGGGAAATTTTGGGGGAAAAAACACGGGAATTTTGGGAAAAAAACCCAGGAATTTTGCAGAAAAACACCGCGGAATTTTGGGGGGGAAAAAACGGGAATTTTGGGAAAAAAACCTGGGAATTTGGGGGAAAAACCCGGGAATTTTGGGGAAAAAAAACCAGGAATTTTGGGGAAAAACACCAGGGAATTTTGGGGGGAAAATATGGGAATTTTGGGAAAAGAACCCGGGAATTTTGGGATAAAACACCTAGGAATTTTGGGGAAAAAAACAGCAGGAGTTGTGGGGGGAAAAACCAGGAATTTTGGGGAAAAAATCCCGTTTTTTCCCGTTTTTCCCTTTTTTCCCGTTTTTCCGCACAGTGCGGAGTTGATTCCTGGTTCCATGACTTTCTCTCATCCCATTTTTCCCATTTTTTTCCCATTTTTCCGCCCAGCTACGGGGCTGACATGGCTGTACCATTCCCAGGGTCTCTCTCTCCTCCCATTTTTCCCATTTTTCCCGTTTTTTCCCATTTTCCACTCAGGCAGTAGTTGATTCCCATTTCCACGTCCCTCTCTCATCCCGTGTTTCCCGTTTTTCCCATTTTTCCCGTTTTTCCCGGCACACGTAGTAGTTGATTCCCGTTTCCACGTCTCTCTCTCATCCCATTTTTCCCATTTTTCCCGGTTTTTTTCCCATTTTTCCGCCCAGCTGCGGGGCTGACCATTCCCAGGGTCTCTCTCTCACGCCGTTTTTCCCATTTTTCCCATTTTTCCCGTTTTCCCACACACGCAGTAGTTGATTCCCGTTTCCACGTCTCTCTCTCATCCCATTTTTCCCATTTTTCCCGTTTTTCTCCCATTTTCCTGCACACGTAGTAGTTGATTCCTGTTTCCACATCTCTCTCTCACGCCGTTTTTCCCATTTTTCCCATTTTTTTTCCCATTTTTCCGCCCAGCTACGGGGCTGACCCTGCTGTACCAGTTCCACGTCTCTCTCCTCCCATTTTTCCCATTTTTCCCGTTTTTCCCCCATTTTCCCACTCAGGCAGTAGTTGATTCCTGTTTCCACGTCTCTCTCTCATCCCATTTTTCCCGTTTTTCCCATTTTTCCCGTTTTTCCCCGTTTTCCCACACAGGCAGTAGTTGATTCCCCTTTCCACATCTCTCTCTCATCCCATGTTTCCCATTTTTCCCATTTTTTTCCCATTTTTCCGCTCAGCTACGGGGCTGACATGGCTGTACCATTCCCAGGGTCTCTCTCTCATCCCATTTTTCCCATTTTTCCCGTTTTTCCCCCATTTTCCCACACACGCAGTAGTTGATTCCTGTTTCCACGTCTCTCTCTCACGCCGTTTTTCCCATTTTTCCCGTTTTTCCCATTTTCCTGGCACACGTAGTAGTTGATTCCCGTTTCCACGTCTCTCTCTCATCCCGTTTTTCCCATTTTTCCCATTTTTCCCATTTTTTCCGCACAGGCAGTAGTTGATTCCCGTTTCCGTGTCTCTCTCTCATCCAATTTTTCCCATTTTTCCAGTTTTTTCCCATTTTTCCGCCCAGCTGTGGAGCTGACCCTGCTCTACCATTCCCAGGGTCTCTCTCTCATCCCATTTTTCCCATTTTTCCCGTTTTTTCCCATTTTCCCACACAGGCAGTAGTTGATTCCCATTCCCACGTCCCTCTCTCACGCTGTTTTTCCCGTTTTTCCCGGTTTTTTTCCCATTTTTCCGCCCAGCTACGGGGCTGACATGGCTCTACCATTCCCAGGGTCTCTCTCTCATCCCGTTTTTCCCATTTTTCCCGTGTTTTTCCCCATTTTCCCACACAGGCAGTAGTTGATTCCCATTCCCAGGGTCTCTCTCTCACACCGTTTTTCCCATTTTTCCCATTTTTCCCATTTTTCCCGTTTTTTCCCATTTTCCCACACACGCAGTAGTTGATTCCCATTCCCAGGGTCCCTCTCTCACGCCGTTTTTCCCATTTTTCCCGTTTTTTTTCCCATTTTTCCGCCCAGCTACAGGGCTGACATGGCTGTACCATTTCCAGGATCTCTCTCTCACGCCGTTTTTCCCATTTTTCCCATTTTTCCCCTGTTTTCTCACACACGCAGTAGTTGATTCCCGTTTCCACATCTCTCTCTCATCCCATTTTTCCCATTTTTCCCGTTGTTTTTCCCATTTTTCCGCCCAGCTACGGGGCTGACGTGGCTGTACCATTCCCAGGTCCCTCTCTGACGCCGTTTTTCCCGTTTTTCCCGTTTTTCTCCCCGTTTTCCGGCGCAGGGAGGAGGTGACGCGCGCCTACCGCCGCCTGGCCGTGCTGCTGCACCCCGACAAGTGCGCGGCGCCGGGCAGCGAGGACGCCTTCAAGGCCCTGGGCAGCGCCCGCGCCGCGCTGCTCCGGAACCTTCCGTAGATTCCCGCCCGGAACGCCGCCGGAATTCCGATCCCGCCCGGGCGGGAACAGCAGCAGCGGAAATCCCGGGATTCCCGGCCGTTATTCCCATTTTTTTGGGGGTTATTCCCATTTTTCTGCGGATTTTTCCCTTTTTTTTTCGCATTTATTCCCCATTTTTTTGGCATTTATTCCCATTTTTTTGGGGGTTATTCCCAATTTTCCGCTAATTTTTCCCTCTTTTTTTGGGCATTTATTCCCATTTTTTTTGGGGGGCTTATTCCCAATTTTCTCCTAATTTTTTCCTTTTTTTTTTTAGTTTTTTCCCATTTTTTGGGAGGTTATTCCCATTTTTCTGCGAATTTTTCACTGGTTTTTTTTTGCATTTATTCCCATTTTTTTCGGGTGTTATTCCCAATTTTCTCCTAATTTTTCCCTTTTTTTTTCAGCTTATTCCCATTTTTTGGGGGGCTATTCCCATTTTTCTGCGAATTTTTCACTTTTTCTTTTGGCATTTATTCCTGTTTTTTTGAGGGTTATTCCCAATTTTCCGAGAATTTTTTGGCATTTATTCACTTTTTTTGGGCATTTATTCCCATTTTTCTGCTAATTTTTCCCTTTTGTTTTTTTCAGTTTATTCCCATTTTTTGGGGGTTATTCCCATTTTTCTGCGAATTTTTTGGCATTTATTCCCTTTTTTTTGAGGGTTATTCCAAATTTTCTCCTAATTTTTCCCTTTTTTTTTTTTCTCAGTTTATTCCCATTTTTTGGGAGGTTATTCCCATTTCTCTGCCACTTTTTCCCTTTTTTTTGGCATTTATTCCCATTTTTCGGCTGTTATTCCCAATTCTCCAAGGGTTTTTCCCACTTTTCCAGGATTATTCCCAATTTTCTGGGTGTTATTCCCCTTCCTGCACAATTATTCCCAGCATTCCAATGATCATTCCCAATTTTCCGAGGGCTTTTCCAATTTTTGCAGCATCATTCCCATTTTTTCCGCAAATTTTTCACTTTTTTTTGGGGTTTATTCCCATTTTTTGGGGTTTATTCCAATATTTCTGGAGTTATTCCAAATTTTCTCTGTGTTATTCCCATTTTTCTCTGGGTTATTCCCATTTTTCTGTGGGTTATTCCCAAATTTTCCAAAGGTTTTCCCCATTTTTCCCGAGTTTTTTTCCAGGAAAATTCCCATTTTTTGAAGGATTTTTCCCATTTTCCCAAGGATTATTCCCTTTTTTTTGGAGGTTATTCCCATTTTCCCGAGAATTTTTCCCTTTTTTTTAATTTTATTCCCAATTTTCCAGGGTTTTTCCCACTTTTCCAGGATTATTCCCAATTTCCCGAGGCTTTTTCCAATTTTCACAGGATTATTCCCAATTTTTGGAGGGTTTTTCCCATTTTTTGGGAGTTATTCCCATTTTTCCTGAGGGTTTTCCCCAATTTTCCTGAAGGTTGAAAAATTCCCATTTTTCCAGTGCTATTCCCAATTTTCTGAGAGTTATTCCCAAATTTTCCAAGGAATATTCCCATTTTCTGGGCTTATTCCCATTTTTTTGAGGTTATTCCCAATTTTCCAGGGTTTTTCCCATTTTTCTGAGAATTATCCCAAATTTTCCAAGGGTTTATTCCCAATTTTCTGAAGGTTTTTCCCCATTTTCCTGAGGATATTCCCATTTTTTTCGGGATTATTCCCAATTTTCCAGGGTAATTCCCATTTTTCTGGATTATTCCTGATTTCCTGACGGTTTTTCCCAATTTTCCAAAGATTTTCCCCAGTTTTTTTCCAGTTTTTCCAAGGATTATTCCCATTTTTTGGTGATTATTCCCATTTTTCCGAGGATTTTTCCCGATTTTCTGGAGTTGGAAAAATCCCAGGAGAGAATTCCCAGATTTTCCTGGAGCCTTTGGAATTTTGGGAAAAAAAATCGGAATTTTTGGGATAAAATTTGGGATTCCGGGGAAAAAAATCTTTGGAATTCTGGGGAAATTTTTGGAATTTTGGGGAAAATCTCCAGAATTTTGGGAATCAACTTTGGGAAAATCAGATTTTTGGGAAAAATATTTGGAAATTTGGGAGAAATCTGAAATTTTGTGAAAAAACTTTGGAATTTTGGGGAAAAAAAATCAGAATTTCGAGAAAAATATTCAAAATTTTGGAAAAAATCAGATTTTTGGGAGAAAACTTCACTATTTTGGGAAAAAAAATTGGAAATTGGGGGAAATGGGAATTTTAGGGGAAAAATCGGATTTTTGGGGAAAATCTTAGGAAATTTGGAGGAAAATCAGAATTTTGGGGAAAAATCTTTGGAAATTCAGGGAAAATTTTGAGAATTTTGGGAAAAATTTGGGATTTTGGGGGGAATCTTTGGGATTTTGGGGGGAATCTTTGGAAATTCAGGGAAAATTTGGAGAATTTTGGGGAAAAGTCAGAATTTTGGGAAAAGCCTTTGGAATTCTGGGAAAAAAAAAAGTGGATTTAAATTTTTTTGCCAGGGAATTTTTTGGGATTTTGCATATTTTTTAAATTTTCCATAATTTTAACATTTTTCCTGTTTTTTTAAATAATTATCAGGAGGTTTTTTTGAGAATTTTTTTTAATTTTTCTGGAATTTTCCCCTGATTTCCCCCATATTTTCCTGGAATTTATTTGATTTTTTTTTTTTAAATTTCCTGGAATTTTTCAGTGAATTTTTAGGAATTTTCCAGAATTTTCCTGGAATTTTTTTTTTTAATTTTCTAAATTTTCCCCCCCCTGGATTTTTACAGATTTTTTTTTACCATTTTCTGAATTTTTCCCGGATTTTTCCCCCAAATTTCCTGGGAATTTTCTGGATTTTTTGGGAATTTTCCCCATTTTTCAGGGTTTTTTCCCCCTTAAATTTTCTTTTATTTTTTTCTGGAATTTTTTCCTTTTTTATTTTTTTTTAAATTTTTATTTAAAATTTTCTGGAATTTTCTCAGAAATTTCCAGAATTTTCCTGAATTTCCCCCAAATTTTCCTGGATTTTATTTGAATTTTAGGGAATTTTCCAGAATTTTCCCAGGTTTCTTTCTGGAATTTTCTGAATTTCTTGGAATTTAATAAATTTTTTTTTTAATTTTCTGCTTTTTTTCTTTTTCCCATTTTCTGAAATTTTCCTGGATTTCCCCCCAAATCTCCTTTGGAATTTTCAGGATTTTTTTGGAATTTTCAGGATTTTTTTGGAATTTTCATGAATTTTCCAATTTTTTTTCCCCCCCTTGAATTTTCATTTTTCAATTTTTATTTTTTCCCCTTTTTTGTTTCAATTTTCTGGAATTTTCCCAAAATTTTCCGGGATTTTCCCGGATTTTCTCCCTCCTCCCCATTTTTTTGGGAATTTGGGATTTTCCCGGGGTTCTGTGCAATATTTGGAATTTTCCCTGATGTTTTTTCCCCTAAAAATAAAAAAATGAATCCCAAATTCCGGATTTTGTGTCGTCCTTGCTTGGAGATTTGGGAAAAATCGGGGAACACTGGGAAAATTTGGGGAAATTTGGGGAAATTTGGGGAAATTTGGGGAAATTTGGGGAAATTTGGGGAAAATGTGGATTATTTGGGGGTTTTGGGGGATAAACCTGGGGATTTATTTGGATTATTTTGGATTTTTTGGGATTTTTTGGGGATTTATTGGGAATTTATGGGAATTTATGGGAATTTTTTGGAATTTATTTGGGATTTATTGGGAATTTTTGGGGAATTTTGGGAATTTGGGGGATTTTTTTAGGGATTTATTTGGGAATTTTTTGGAATTTATTTGGAATTCATTTGGCATTTTGGGAATTTTGAGGATTTTTTGGGAATTAATTGGGAATTAATTGGGGGAATTTATTGGGATTATTTTGGAATTTGGGGGATTTATTTGGAAATTTTTGGATTATTTGCGATTGGGAAGTTTTCAGATTATTTGGGATTTATTTGGAATTTTTGGGAATTTTTTTGGATTTATTTGGGATTTTGGGGGATTTTTGGGGATTATTTTGGATTTATTGGAGATTTTGGGATTTTGGGGGAGTTTATTGGGGAATATTTTGATTTATTGGAGATTTTAAAATTTTGGGTTTTTTGGGGGGAATTTTTTTAATTTTGGGGGATTTTTTGGGGTTTTTTGGGGGGGATTTTTGGGGTTTTTTGGGATTATTTTGTAATTTTTGGGATTTTAAAAGATTTTTCTTTCATTTCTTGGGAATTTTTTTTTTTTTTTTTTTTTTTTTCATATTTTTTTTTTTTTTTTTTTTTTTTTTTTTTCTTTTTTTTTTTTTTTTTTTTTTTGGGATTTTTTTGGGAATTCTTGGGAATTCTTGGCCCTTTTTGGGATATCTTGGGATTTCTTGGGTTTTTTTGGGATTTCTTGGGGTTTCTTGGGATTTTTTTGGGATTTATTTGGGATTTATTCAGACTTTTTTGGATTTATTTGCTTGTTTTGGAAATTTCTTGGGATTTATTGAAATTTCTTGGGATTTTTTGGGATTTATTCAGATATTGTGGGATTTATTTGAATTTCTTGGGCTGTTTTGAGATTTTTTTTTTTAGTTTATTGGGATTTTTTTGGGAATTCTTGGGACTTTTTGGGATATCTTGGGATTTATTGGGATTTTTTGGGGATTTCTTGGAAATTTTTGGGGATTTCTTGGGACTTCTGGGGATTTTTCAGGATATTTTGGGATTTCTTGGGTTTTTTGGGGGATTTCTAAAGATTTATTGGGATTTCTTGAAATTTCTTGGGATGTTTTAGGATTTCTTGGGATTTCTTGAGTAATTTTGGGATTTCTTGGGATTTATTTGGGATTTATTTGGGATTTATTCAGACTTTTTGGGATTTATTTGGGATTTTTGGGGATTTTTTTCATTTCTTGGGATTTTTTAGGATTTCTTGGGATATTTTGGGACTTCTTGGGACTTTGGGGATTAATTTGGGATTTATTCAAATTTTGCGGAATTTATTTGAATTTTTGGGGGTGTTTTGAGATCTTTTTAATTTTTTGGGATTTTTTTGGAATTCTTGGGAATTCTTGGCACTTTTTGGGATATCTTGGGATTTCTTGGGATTTCTTTGAGATTTCTTGGGTTTTTTTGGGGATTTCTTGCGATTTATTGGGATTTCTTGGGGTTTCTTGGATTTTTTTGGGATTTTTTTGGGATTTCTTGGGACTTCTGGGGATTTTTTGGGATTTATTTGGGATTTATTCCGACTTCTTGGGATTTATTTATTTATTTTGGGGATTTCTTGGGTTTTTTAGGATTTCTTGGATAATTTTGGGATTTTTTTTATTTTTTTTCCCCCCAAACCCGAATTCCCTCGGGAATCTCATCCCGGATTTTTCATTTTTTTGGGATTTTTTCCCAGCCCGGCACCGAGGGGGTTACGGGAGGCGGGAGCGCCGCGATCCCGGGAAAAGGAAAATCCCGTCCCGCTTTTCCAGCCTCCATCCCCGGGAAAAACCGGGAAAAACCGGGAAGAGGATGCGGGAATCGGGAAGCGCATCCCTGCATCCCGCCTTTTTTCCAGGGTTTTTTTGGGATTTTTTTTCCTGGTGTTTTTTGGGTTTTTTTTCCCGTTTTTTCGTTTTTTTTTTTTTTTTTTTTTTTTTTTCCCTTTTTTTTCCCTTTTTTTCCCGTTTTTCTCCCGGTTTTTTTCCCCCGTTTTCCCCCCGGTTTTTTCCCGGTTTTTTTGGGATTTTTCCCGGTTTTTTCTCCCGGTTTTTGTGGATCCCGGCGGGAACGAAGCATCTCGGGAAGGAGGAGCAGGGGAGGCATCGCGACATCTGCGGAGCGGAGCTGGGAAAGCTGGGAAAGCGCCTGGAAAAGCGGCTGGGAAAAATCCGGGAAAAATCCCCCAAAAATCCGGGAATTATCCGGGAAAAAAATCCGGGAATCGGCGGGGAAGGAGCCGGGAAGAAACCGGGACGGAATTCCGGGAATCGGCCGGGAATTGGTCAGGGGAAAACCGGGAAAGGATTTCGGGAATTGGCCGGGGAAGGATTTCGGGAATCTGACGGGAATCGGCCGGGAAGGAACCGGGAATCAGCCGGGAAGAAAATCCGGGAATCGGCCGGGAAAGAGCCGGGAATCAGCCGGGCAGGAATCCCGGGAATCGGCCGGGAAGGAACCGGGAATCGGCCGGGAAAGAGCCGGGAAGAAATCCCGGGAAGGAGCGGGGAATCAACCGGGAAAAAAATCCGGGAATCAGCCGGGAAGGAGCCGGGAAGAAAATCCGGGAATCAGCCGGGAAGGAGCCGGGAATTATCCGGGCAGGAATCCCGGGAATCAGGCGGGCAGGAATCCCGGGAATCAGCCGGGAAGGAGCCGGGAATCGGCCGGGAAGAAAATCCGGGAATCGGCCGGGAATCAACGGGAAGGAATCCCGGGAATCGGCCGGGAAGGAGCCGGGATTCGAACGGGAAGGAGCGGGGCAGGAATCCCGGGAATCAACCGGGAAACGGCCGGGAAGGAGCCGGGAATTATCCGGGAAGGAATTCCAGGAATCGGCCGGGATTCGGCCGGGAAGGAATTCCGGGAATCAACCGGGAATCGGCCGGGAAGGAGCCGGGAATCAGCCGGGAAGAAAATCCGGGAATCAGCCGGGCAGGAATCCCGGGAATCGGCCGGGAATCGGCCGGGAAGGAGCGGGGAAGGAATCCCGGGAATCAGCCGGGAAGGAGCCGGGAATCAACCGGGAAGGAATTCCGGGAATCGGCCGGGAATCAACGGGAAGGAATCCCGGGAAGGAGCCGGGAAAGAGCCGGGAAGGAGCCGGGCAGGAATCCCGGGAATCGGCCGGGAATCAACGGGAAGGAATCCCGGGAATCAACCGGGAATCGGCCGGGAAGCAGCCGGGAATCAGGCGGGCAGGAATCCCGGGAATCAGCCGGGAAGGAGCCGGGATTCGAACGGGAAGGAGCCGGGCAGGAATCCCGGGAATCAGGCGCGCAGGAATCCCGGGAATCAGGCGCGCAGGAATCCCGGGAATTATCCGCGCAGGAATCCCGGGAATGCCGTCCTCCCCGTTCCCGGCGCTGCCGTTTTCCCGGGATTGAAGCAGCCGCACAAGCGGCGCGGCCCTTCAGGATGACGCCGCTTCTCTGAGAGCATCCCAAGATTCCCTTTGGAATTCCCAACAAAAAAAAAAAACCCCAAAAATGCCCGGGAAGCGCGCCTTCTCCGAGCCGGAATTCTCGGCCGACTATTCCGCGGATTATTCGCTGAGTTTCCCTTCGGATCCCGACGGGAATTTGCGGCTCTCCCGGGAATCCGCGGCGCCGCGCGGCGGATCCTGCCCGTGCGTGCCGCATTCCCGGCGTTTTTCCTTCTCGCCGGAATCCTTGGAAAAACTCTACCAGACTTATTTCCGGCGCCAGCGGCACGAGACGCTGCTGGTGCTGGTGGCGTTCTCGGCTCTTTTCGACTGTTACATCCTGGGAATGTGCGCCGACTTTTCCCGCTTGGAAAAACTTTTCCCGGCGCTGGCGGCGCTGGCGGCGCTGGCGGCGCACGGAGCGCTTTTCCTGCTGCTCAAAGCTCGGCTGCTCCCGGAGGATTTTTCCCAGAAATTCCTGCCCGGAGGGTTGTGGGCGCTGACGGTGGCGCAGCTCGGCGGGTTGTTGGCTCTGGAATTCCAGAGTTTTCCAGAGGGGGTGGACACGGCGGGCTGGCTGGCGTTCTTCGCCTTCTCCTCCTTCCTGACGCTGCCGCTGCGCCTGGCGCGGATCCTGCTGCTGGCGGCCGCCTCCTGCGCCGCCCACGCGCTGCTCCTGGGAATCCTGGAATTCCAGAGGGGCCGCGAGCGCCTGGAGCCCGCGGAGGTGGCCAGGCAGGTGAGGGAATGGGAATGGGAATGGGGATGGGAATGGGAATGGGAATGGGAATGGGAATGGGAATGGGAATGGGGATGGGGATGGGGATGGGGAATGGGAATGGGGATGGGAATGGAAATGGGAATTCCATGGATTGAGATGTGCTGGCCAGGCAGGTGCGGGAATGGAGCAGGAATGGGTTTGGACTGGGATGGGAATGAGACAGGGAATGGGAATTCCATGGATCAATGGGTGCTGGACAGGCAGGTGCAGGAATAGGGCGGGAATAGGACAGGAATGGGAATGGGAATGTCCTGGGAATGCTCTGGGAATGTCCTGGGAATGCTCTGGGAATGCTCTGGGAATGTCCTGGGAATGCTCTGGGAATGCTCTGGGAATGCTCTGGGAATGTTCTGGGAATGCTCTGGGAATGTTCTGGGAATGGGCGGATCCTGCTGCTGGCGGCCGCCTCCTGCGCCGCCCACGCGCTGCTCCTGGGAATCCTGGAATTCCAGAGGGGCCGCGAGCGCCTGGAGCCCGCGGAGGTGGCCAGGCAGGTGAGGGAATGGGAATGGGAATGGGGATGGGGATGGGAATGGGAATGGAAATGGGAATGGGAATGGGAATGGGGAATGGGAATGGGAATGGGAATGGGGATGGAAATGGGAATGGGAATGGGAATGGGAATGGGGATGGGGATGGGGATGGGAATGGGGATGGGAATGGGAATGGGGATGGGAATGGTGGGAATGAAAATGGAATGGGGTGGGAATGGTGGGAATGGACAGGGAATGAGGTGGGAATGAGGTGGGAATTCCATGGATCCAAAGGAGGCGGCCAGGCAGGAGCAGGAATGGGGCAGGAATGGGGTGGGAATGGTCCAGGAGTGGTGGGAATGGGAATAGGGTGGGAATTCCATGGATCCAGGGGAGGTGCAGGAATGGAGCGGGAATGGGGTGGGAATGGTGGGAATGGGAATGGTGGGAATGGGGTGGGAATGTTGGGAATGGACAAGGAATGCACCTGGATTGGTGGGTATCCATGGGTTATCCATGCTTAATCCATGGCTTTTCCGTGGAAGAAGGAAAAATTGGGAATTGATTCAGGTTTTCGGGATAATCCGGGAAGGTGGAGTTCATGGCGAGAGTTCGGAAAACGCGGCTCAAGAAAACTTCGGGAATCCCCAGATTTTTCCTGGTTTTTGGGATGCGTGGATTGGGGTTTGTGGGATACAAGGAGGAAAACTTGGAGAATCCCCAGTGCGGATCCCGGAATTTGGGATTGGGATTGGAATTTTTCCTGCGGGATTTGGGATCTGGGATCGGAGCTTTCCCCGCAGAATTTGGGATCTGGGATTGGAGATTTTCCTGCAGGATTTGGGATTTGGGATCAAAGCTTTTCCTGCAGGATTTGGGATCTGGGATCGGAGCTTTTCCCGTGGAATTTGGGATCTGGGATTGGAGATTTTCCTGCAGGATTTGGGATCTGGGATCAGAGATTTTCCTGCAGGATTTGGGATCTGGGATCGGAGCTTTTCCCATGGAATTTGGGATTTGGGATTGGAGATTTTCCTGCAGGATTTGGGATCGGAGATTTTCCTGCAGGATTTGGGATCAGAGATTTTCCTGCAGGATTTGGGATTTGGGATCAGAGCTTTTCCCACAGATTTTGGGGTCTGGGATCGGACCTTTTCCTGCAGAATTTGGGATCTGGTATCGGAGCTTTTCCCGCAGAATTTGGGATCAGAAATTGGAGATTTTCCTGCAGGATTTGGGATTTGGGATCAGAGATTTTCCTGCAGAATTTGGGATTTGGGATCGGGGCTTTTCCCACAGATTTTGGGATCTGGGATTGGAGATTTTCCTGCAGGATTTGGGATCTGGGATTGGAGCTTTTCCTGCAGGATTTGGGATTTGGGATCCGGGATCTCCTCTGTGCCAGAGCTTTTCCCACGGAATTTGGGATCTGGGAAGTGTTTTGGATCTCGGGACGCATCGGGAGAGTTTTTCTGGGATGTGACTCAGATCAGGATCTGATCCGTGGGATCGGGATCCAATCGTGGGGTCAGGATCGGATCCATGGGGTCAGGATCCATCCAATGGGATTGGGATCCGATCCGTGGGGTCGGGATCCGAGCGTGGGGTCGGGATCCAATCCATGGGGTCGGGATCCAATTCATGGGGTCCAGATCCAATCCATGGGTCAGGATTGGATCCATGGGGTCGGGATCCAATTCATGGGGTCGGGATCCAATCCATGGGATCAGGATCTGATCTGTGGTTCAGGATCCAATCCATGGATCAGGATCTGATCCATGGATCAGGATCCAATCCATGGATCAGGATCCAATCCATGGGGTCCAGATCCAATCCATGGGTCAGGATCCAATCCGTGGATCAGGACCCAATCCATGGGGTCGGGATCCAATCCATGGATCGGGATCCAATTCATGGGGTCCAGATCCAATCCATGGGATCAGGATCCAATCCATGGGGTCGGGATCCGATCCATGGATCAGGATCCGATCTGTGGGGCAGGATCCAATCCATGGATTCGGGATCCAATCCATGGATCAGGATCCGATCCATGGATTCAGGATCCAATCCATGGATCAGGATCCAATCCATGGATCAGGATCCAATCCATGGATCAGGATCCAATCCATGGGGCAGGATCCAATCCATGGATCAGGATCCAATCCATGGATCAGGATCCAATCAATGGATTCGGGATCCAATCCGTGAATCGGGATCCGATCCATGGGATCCAATTTGCGGGATCGGGATCCGATCCATGGGATCCAGATCCGATCCATGGGGTCAGGATCCAATCCATGGATCGGGATCAATCCCATTGGATCCTTCAGGACCCACCCCCGGATCCAAATCCATCCCGTGGGATCCACGCCAGGATCCCCCCCCACCCTCGGGATGTTCCCAGAATTTTTCCCGGAACGGGAACAGAAACAATCCCGAATTTTCGGCCGTTCCCGGGAACGCCGATCGGAGCCCGGCCGTGTTTTTCCGGAACTTTCTCGCTCCCGGGGCTGCAATTCCCAGGGAACGGCGCCACGTGATCCGCCCGGAGCCGCCGCCTTCCCCCGGGATCCCTCGGGATCCCCCGGGATCCCCCGGGATCTCCCGGGATCCCGGCCAGCTGCCGCCTTTTTCCAAAACATCTCCGGGATTTCCAAGCCCGGGATCTCCCGGGGCCACTTTGGAGCTGCTTCGCCCCTAAAATTCCCGGGATTTATCCCAAAATGGGATCCGAGGCCCAGCAGCGGTCGGGGCCGCGCCGGATCCGCTCATCCCGGAATTCCTCCTCCTTCATCCCGGAGATCCCCGGATCCCAAATTCCCGCTGGTTCTTCCTGATGATCCCGTGGTCCCAAATTCTTCCTCTTTCATCCCAAATATCCCGTGGTCCCAAATTCCTGCTCTTTCATCCCAAATATCCCGTGGTCCCAAATTCCTGCTCTTTCATCCCAAATATCCCGTGGTCCCAAATTCCTGCTCTTTCATCCCGAATATCCCGTGATCCCAAATTCCTGCTCTTTCATCCCAAATATCCCGTGATCCCAAATTCCTGCTCTTTTATCCCAAATATCCCGTGATCCCAAATTCCTGCTCTTTTATCCCGAATATCCCGTGGTCCCAAATTCCTGCTCTTTTATCCCAAATATCCCGTGATCCCAAATTCCTGCTCTTTTATCCCAAATATCCCGTGATCCCAAATTCCTGCTCTTTTATCCCAAATATCCCGTGATCCCAAATTCTTCCTCTTTCATCCCGAATATCCCGCGATCCCAAATTCCTGCTCTTTCATCCCAAATATCCCGTGATCCCAAATTCCTGTGCTTTCATCCCAAATATCCCGTGATCCCAAATTCCTGCTCTTTCATCCCGAATATCCCGTGATCCCAAATTCCTGTGCTTTCATCCCAAATATCCCGTGATCCCAAATTCCTGCTCTTTTATCCCAAATATCCCGTGATCCCAAATTCCTGCTTTCATCCCAAATATCCCGTGATCCCAAATTCCTGCTCTTTCATCCCAAATATCCCGCGATCCCAAATTCCTGCTCTTTTATCCCAAATATCCCGTGATCCCAAATTCCTGCTCTTTCATCCCAAATATCCCGTGATCCCAAATTCCTGCTTTCATCCCAAATATCCCGTGATCCCAAATTCCTGCTCTTTTATCCCAAATATCCCGTGATCCCAAATTCCTGCTCTTTCATCCCGAATATCCCGTGATCCCAAATTCCTGCTCTTTTATCCCGAATATCCCGTGATCCCAAATTCCTGCTCTTTTATCCCAAATATCCCGCGATCCCAAATTCCTGCTCTTTTATCCCAAATATCCCACGTTCCCAAATTCCTGCTCTTTCATCCCAAATATCCCGTGATCCCAAATTCCTGCTCTTTTATCCCAAATATCCCACGTTCCCAATTTCCTGCTGTTCCATCCCGGATATCCTTGTTCCCAAATTCCTGCTCTTTGTTCCCGAACATCCCGCGATCCCAAAATCCCACCGTTGAATCCCGAAGGTCCCGTGATCCCAGATTCCTGCTGTTCCTTCCCAAAAATCCCCTGATCCCAAATTCCTGCTATTCAATCCCGAATATCCCCCCCAATCCCAAATTCCGGCTCTTTCATCCCGAATATCTCATGAGCCCAAATCCCAGGATATCCCGCGATCCCAAATCCCGGTGTTTTTCCCCAAATCCTGGGATACCCCACAGTCCCAAATCCTGGTGTTTTTCTCAAATCCGGGGATATCCCGCAATCCCAAATCCCGGTGTTTTTATCCCCAATCCCGGTGTTTTATCCCAAATCCCGGTGTTTTTATCCCAAATCCCGGTGTTTTATCCCAAATCCCGGTGTTTTTATCCCAAATCCCGGTGTTTTATCCCAATCCAGGTGTTTTTATCCCAATCCTGGTGTTTTTATCCCAAATCCTGGTGTTTATCCCCAATCCCGGTGTTTTTATCCCAATTCCAGTGTTTTTATCCCAAATCCTGGTGTTTATCCCCAATCCCGGTGTTTTTATCCCAATTCCGGTGTTTTTATCCCAAATCCCGGTGTTTTCATCCCAAATCCTGGTGTTTATCCCAAATCCCGGTGTTTTTATCCCAATTCCGGTGTTTTTATCCCAATCCCGGTGTTTTCATCCCAATCCCGGTGTTTTCATCCCCAATCCCGGTGTTTTTATCCCAAATCCCGGTGTTTTCATCCCAATCCTGGTGTTTTCATCCCAATCCCGGTGTTTTCATCCCCAATCCCGGTGTTTTCATCCCAATCCCGGTGTTTTCATCCC